AGCTAGAAAGTAGGGTAACTAATCACAGTGGTCTCCCTGAAACTGAGGGTCCAAAGACCTTTGGCACTTAAACTGGGAGAGTCCCAGGGAAACTGAGCTGAGTTGGTCACTCTAATTAGTAGTAGAGACTGCATAAGAAACTAGGCTATTTAATTCTTGTTTAGCACTTTTCTTATTATGATGATCTAATCAAGTAGTCTTGCCCTTCTCTGCTTCGGAAAATTCCACTTAAAACCCTCTCTTTATACATCTTTTCTTGACTAGTCTTGTCTGAGACATCAGCCACCCTTGCCCTCCAGCAATCTCTTGTGTTTGGTGTGCCAGCCACAGTAGATTATGCATTTTCTTCTCTCTGTGGGTTCTAATAGTTGTTCATTATATTAATCTTTCCTCTCTCCTTCAGACTGTAGGAAGGTGGGAACAACCTGCCTTCTCCCCAGACAGGAATGTATGCCTGACCAACAGGAATTAAGTGGATATTCAAAACACCTTTCAGGGTCAGGTAAGTTGTCTAGGAGTCACCGAGTATTTACAATTCAATTATTACTTTATGATAAGCAAGAGCCACTTAGTGCCAGAAAAAAAGTTTGTTTATTTATTGCATCTCTATGTGGATCATAAAGAAAAGCACTGCTTCATACAAATACAGAGAACCGACTTTGGCGTCCATTGTGCCCCAGTCATGGTAGCACCTGTAGTCTCCTGGCCTGAGCAGGTACTGCTGCCCCCTGTAGTTGGGCATCTTGTAGAGGACCCAGCAGCCCTCCAACACATGGACGGAGTAGATCTTGTTGAGATGGTAGCGATTGTGGATACAGGAGCAGTCTTCTGTGAGCTCAGACACCAGGCCTCTGTAGTCACTTCTCTCATACAACCTTATCCTGTGCAAGCTGGTCTGTTGTGATAATCAACAAAAGAACAAAAATGAACGGCACATATGTGTGGTACAAACAATACTGACACAGTCAGCCTTTTATTTTCATGAAATGAGCTTTTCCGACAACCCTCTAAAAAGTTTCTCCCTAATCCTACTCCTTGTGTTATTGTTCTAACAAATTAGGAAGAGTATTAAAATAAAGCTGACCTGACCAGTGAACTGGAGATCTTGCAGAAGAAACTAGCATTGAGGGCTGAGGATTTAGCTCAGTTTAGGCATGCACTAAACCCCTGGGTTCAATCCCTAGCACCACAAAATAAAACAAAACAAAAACTAGCATTGAAACACAGGGAATAGTAGTGTTTTTCCCTTGTAAGTAGCCACTCTCCTAAGTAGCCACTCTTCACAGCCCTGATCAATGTGTCTGCAGATAGAATTTTAACTCCCATTTGCATTTCAGCCCCATAGAACTGTGACCTATCCAGCTTGTTTTAAGGTTCCATCTTGCACTCATGATATACAGTGATTCCTATTTACTGTTGTCCTCACGTCTCTTCAAAGGATATTTGGCCAAGTGATTTGTACAATTTGGGTTTCTGCTTATTTTTATCTCTTTGTGCATCTGAAAAATTTTCTAGATTAAATTTTATTTATTTATTTGTTCTTTTGTTTGTTTGTTTGTTTATTGGTAGCACTGGGAATTGAACCCAGGGCCTCTTTCTATTCTTGAATCTCTTTGCCATGCCACATGATTTTTGGTGACATCACAAAGTATAAACATGTTTCATGTGACTAAGAAACATGAAGCAGCACTTTGGTGAGAACCAAGACCCATGAAATTCTAATCAATTATCTGTCTCTTTCATTTTAAGAAACTACTTGATGATGATCACTTGAAAGCCACAGGTGCCGAAACACAGTGTTCTAGGTTCTGGATCAGTGTGTCATGGAGGGTAGTGAAGAGAACCAGTGGTACAATCAGAGATGTTCTACTTACATTGCTCTCGCATGGGTGGTTAACATTTTATCATTAAAAAAGAATTACTTGTGTGGGCTTTTTTCTTGAATGAGCAAGATGAATTTTTTTTTAAATTAGAGATTGCCTAGATGCTTTGAACTTTAAATTTATTTTTAAAGTTTATTTATTTTCGAATTGACAGGTAAATTTGTAATATTTATCATGCACGACGTGATGCTTTTAAGCGTATACTGTATACATTGTGGAGTGGTTAAAGCTAGCTAATACATATAGGTATCCAAACATGGTTATCATTTTTGTGGTGAAAGCACTTAACATCCACTGTCTTAGCACTTAAGAAGACAATATATAGTTGGGCATGATGGCGCATGCCTGTAATCCCGGCAACATGGGAGGCGGAGGCAGGAGGATTGCAAGTTCAATTCCCTAAGCAACTTAGGCAGACCCTGCCTCAAAATAAAAAAAATAGAAGGGCTGTGGATGTAGTTCAGTGGTAAAGTGCTCCTGGGTTCAATCCCTAGTGAGAAAAAAAAGAATGCAATATATAATCATTAACTGTAATCATCAAGTGTACAATAGATTTCTGGACTTATTCTTCCTACCTGTGATTATTATGATTATACATCCTTGGAACAACGTGTCCCCAAACCTTCCCTCCTTACCAACTTCCCTAGCTTCTAGTACCACCATTCTCTTTTCTATGAGATCAGCGTTTTAAGATTTCACTTCAGAGTGAGATTACAGGCATTTGTTTTTCTGTGTCTGGTTTATTTCACTTAACATAAGGTCCTCTAGGTTTATCATGTCTTTACACATGACAGAATTTCCTTCTTTTATGGATGGGTGTCCTATATCTCTATTCAGCCAATTTTATTTTTAAAGGTCATAATTTCTTATGCTCCAAAGTAATGTTGAGGTCCTTAAGGAAGAAAAATATATATATATATATGGGGAGATCAATTTTATATATATATATATTTCTTTTTCTTTTTCTTTTTTTTTTTGAAGGTAGGATCTTGCTGTCTTTACAGTGAGCTCTAGTACACTATTGGGAACAAACAACTGACAGGAGCTGACCTCTCACATCAGTCAGGTGGAAGCAAGACTCACATAAGGAATCACGCGGCAGGAGCGGATGGAATCATTGAAGCCCATCCACTGCTGTTAGGAGGGGTAGTCCCCCCACCGCAGTAAGTACTGGTTGCTCTGGTAGTTGGGACGCTCATAGAGCATCCAGCAGCCGCTGTCCATGCAGATGGAGTTGCAGCAGCTGAAGTAGGTCTGCAGGTTGGGACAGTCACTGTTGCACTCGTAACAGCGGCCCTGGAAGCCCCAGTCCTCGTAGAATATGATCTGTAGTGGGAACAAGGTGACAGCACATGGTCAACCTGAAGGAACATCCCCCACAGAGTAGACACTTGATAGACACGTATGGCACTTGGATTGGCTCACCTTCCCCATAGTTGCGGAGAGCGAATGATCAGCATCCAGTGTGATGGGGACAAGTGTGGTAGCTGATATATATATATATATCAGGATGGCTGCTGTGTTGGCAAGAACAACACAAAAGTGAAGTGGGGGTAAAGCGTAAGGGGATTTCTGTGTTCTCTCTGTTTTTCATTTGGGATCATGGGGCAGGGGGCTCTCATTCTCTCTGGCATTTTCGAGTTGTCCTCACTAGCTCCAGTGAACGGAATTAAAGTCAGCAGAGCCATTATGACCTTGGAGACAAAGGGCGCACTTCTCATCCTATGCAGCTCTCTAGAAATACATGACATGCCCAGCATTTTGCAGTTTGCCTATAGAAACTGCTGAGACGAGGGTCGGTGGTTCCATCCGAGGGAGCTCACCGGAAATCATACGAACTCCAGAAGGACTTGAAGTGCAAAGGGGAAACAAAAGATCTTAAAATATCCGTTAATCAAAAGACAATTGCATTTCTTCATCAGCATAATATGGTTTTGATTTTTTAAAAACTTTAGCATGTTTAGGATAAAAAGATTAGAACTGTGTATCTACTAAGATGTCAATCATGGTTATCGATGAATGGAAAGATTTTAGGTCTTAGTTTTATGTTTTTATTTCTTTTGCTGCTTTCTATTTCCTTAGTTTCTATCATAAACATATATTGCAGTTTCATGTGATAAAAACAGTCACATTAATTTTTAAATGTATGAATTTGAGTTAATGGTGAAAAGCACTTTTGGAAATAGACATGTTTTGTCATGAGAATAAACACTTCTCAAGCTAAAAATAAAGCTATCTCCCAAGAGTCTGAGACACTCAAAGAGCAGGACAATACTCATGATCCTTTCACTCCCCTTCTGTCACCACCCTTCTCCTAGGGTTGCTTGTTGTTTTTAAAATTCATGTTTTGATTTGCTTGTGTTACTGTTTCATTGAGTCCAGGTGACTACCTGAAGAGCTTTCTCCATTGATGCCAATTGACATGTTTGGAAGCACTCCTCAGATATGCAAGGATTGAGGATGCTCCAAACCTCAGGTGGTCCTTTGTCATCCCATCCCCTGTGTATGTGGTGTGATGAAATCAAACACCTTTGTGCTTCAGACCAATGAAGGGACTCCAGAAAGATATCTAACTATGGCTAGCAGCACATTCACAATGCTATTTGCAAAAACCCTCAGGCAACACTTACAGCCAGTATGCAGATGGCAAAAGGAGAGACAGAAATAGCCACAAAGAAAAGATCTTTTCTCATAACTAGCAGAGCTAGATTTAAAAAAAAAAATCTGTACAAAGTCCTGGGCTAGTCCCCTGACAGTGTCTACAGTGACCACAGGTTGCCAATTCCCACTCCTTTCTCCCTCTTAATGTTGCAAGTCTCCTGGTAAATCTCAAAAACAACTACAATCAGATCCAGTCTGCAAAGGCTGGTTTGGACGCCCCAGCCACAAGCCCACATGGAAACATCACCATTTTCAATCAAAAAATCCCACACGTGCTTTTGCACATGCTAAGGAAACTATTCTTCAGAAAGTTGGCATACCCAAACCTTCAGAAAGGTATGATCTGTACAGATATTCATTTGATCCAACTGTCATTACAAATCTTGACAGGCTGAACCATGTGCCTAGTCAGCATTTTGAAAAACTACTGAAAGAACAGAACATTTTCTTTTCCTAGTAGTTCTTATATTCTACTGAGAGAAAACTTGCATCCATATTTCTTTTAAAACTATATTGATGAGAAGCTGAATGTGATGGTGCATGCCTGTAATCCTAGTGACTCTGGAAGCTGAGGCAGGAGGATTGCAAGTTTGAGGCCAGCCTCAGCAACTTAGCCAGACCCTAAGTGTGTTAGTGAGACCCTGTTTCAAAATTTAAAAAAAAATCAAAATGCAAAGATGCAGCTCAGAGATAAAGTTGTCCTGGGTTCAATCCCCAGTACCAAAACAAACAGACAAACAAAAAACTATATTGATGTAATTTTAAATATTTTTCATTTTAGGACATAGCTAAGTCAATCAAGGATAGATTAATTTTATTTTGCATTAAAACTTAGGAAAACTCCCTCCTACTGTACTACTGTGCAATACTCAATACTACATATTTGTAAAATGTGCTACAAAGCCAGCTTGACATAGAAATATTAGGTACTCTGAATTGTCCAAGTCTTTTAGTCATAATGAAGTAGTATAAGATACACACATTTTTGTAGCTGTGCAATATGCTTCTAAGAGAAGAAACTCAATTTCAATAATAACTTTCAGCACAATCTGAGTCAAAAGCCAACTGTAAAGAAAAATGTGCCAGAAAGAGATGCAATTTTAAGATGATGTTTCTTGTTTGCTCCCAGAGGCTCTATTATGAAGTTCAAGTTTCTAAGTGACCTGCAGAATAAAAGGATGATTTTGGTATCAAGCACATCAATAGAACATGCACACAAATAACACCAATCTATAGCAAGTTCAGGTCAAATATCAGATATTAATTTACTGACAAAGATGTAATAGCAACATGTAGGTATAAAAGAATTTCCAGGGAACTGTTCTCATAGATTTGGAAATTAGTTACATTTCTTAAAATACAATATGTCATCTCACACTGGATCCTGTGCAGAATGAAAAACATGCTTAAAAAAAGATTATTAGGTCTGTCAACAAAATTTCTATATAGATTAAAAGTATCAGTGTTTGATATTCTGAAATTGATCATGGTTGTGTAAGAGATTTTGTTCTTAGGATATACAAACTGATATATTCTGGGGCAAAGTGATAGGCTATGTATAACTTCTAAGGGCTAAAGAAAGATTATACATTTGTAACTATATACATATAGAGGTAAGAGACAGAAAATGGCAAAGCAAATGAAATAAAGTATTAACAATTGATGAATCTGGGTAAAAGGTATGTATGGGTTCCTTGAGTTATGCTTGCAACTTTTCTGTAAGCTTGAAATTATTTCAAAGTATAAATAAATAAAGAAAGTTGTACTTCTTTTAACAAACTCTACCCACAGCAAATAATTTTTAGTTTCTTAGCAGTTTTTATGTATTGTGCTTGGAGTATATTATTTTTAACTTTGCGTCTATTGCTTTGAATTTAAACTTAAGTGTTCCCTCTCTGTCTTGTGTCATTCATGACCATCTCTCTGAAGATGGCTCACATTCTCCCTCGAATGTGTATTTCTTACTTCACCCCAAAAGATGTCTTTCTTTTTAGATAACCACATTCTCCCTTGAATGCATATCTTCTTTCCTAAGCAAATCTTTGTCTCTGACTGGCATGTTCTGAAATTCTTTTCTGTCATGTATGCCAAGCACCTGCTTATTCCTAGTCAAGGTCTCTCTCTCTGAAAATTCCTAAGGTGGCAGTTGTAGAAGAAAATGTATGGAATGAAACTATATTTTCAAAATAACATGAGCCTGACATGGTGGTGCATGTCTGTAATCCCAGGGACTAGGGAGGATGAGGTGAAGGATCACAAGTTCAAGGCCAGCCTCAGCAACTTAGTGAGACCTTAAAGGGTTGGGGATGTAGCTCAGTGGTTAAGCACCACTGGTCTGATCTCCAGTACCAAAACAAACAAAACACCACTGAATTAATCTTTAGAATTACATTCTCATTACACAGGATCCATATATGATCCAAACAAGTATATGAATCCCTGTTTTAGGATCTGTTTCTTTTTTTAATTTTTTAAATTTGTTTTTATTAGTTACACATGATAGTACAAGCTTAGTCTGGATTATCGGTCTATGATTTTGTTCATGCAGGGTGTTTGTGTGTGCTATTTCTGGAATTCTCACTGGTTTTTGTTTCTTGCCTTGTTTTGCTTTCTTCAGCTTTCTGTCTCCAAAATCATGTAAGAAAATGACCTCATTTGACTTTAAAAAATTCTTCGGAAGCAAAGATATGGTTCTAGAAAACCTAGACTCTCAAATCTCATCCTAGCAAATACCTTCAGAACAAAACTCAATATGGTGATGATTTTTCCATAGTGCAATTATTCTATTTTTAGAACAATGTTTATTAAAGTCCTAACGTGGCTAAAGAATCCAGACAGTTCCTAAAGCAATTTCTATGATGAAGTTAAATTTCTAATCAATCAATAGTTTGCCTCCAGAATCTAAAGAAATACTGAGCCCCATGTGGCTCAGTTGATTAAGAGAGTCACATTTTAAAATTCTTTTTAAACAAGTTCACTTTTTGAACTTGTATTCACTATGCATATTATATTTTTGAAATTCTCATTTCAGCAACTGAACTAAATAACTTATGCTTCTTTTTTTTCTTAAACCTTTTTATTGTTGTTATTGGTGGACCTTTATTTTTTATATGCAGTACTGAGGATCGAACCCAGTGCCTCACACATGCTAGGCAAGTGCTTTACCACTGAGCCATGACCCCAGCCCTAAACTTATGCTTCTTAAACAAACCCATTCATATCTCAATGTACAATTTTCAAAATTCCCTTCTCTCTTTTCTACCTTAGAGCCCTAAAATATTCCAGCCTTTCTCACTTCTCTGATTCTCTCCCCTATTGTCTTTTATTATGTTGGCCACCTTGATCTCTCTGACTTCTTTTTGAACTTGTGTTCACTGTGCACATTATAATTGAGAACTCAGAACAGGAAGAAAAAGAATGGTTATTTTCTATTCCCTCTAGCCCTGTACATGACCATTCTGATTCTGCAACATAAAAATGGGAAATTAGATGGACAGGGCAAGAGCAGGGGAGATGCCAAGAAGGAAGAGATAAAATTCTACTAAGGAATAAAATAAACCTCTTTCATATACTTATTTAAGAATAATGGCCAATTAACTTGCAAATAATATTTTTTTCTTTTCTTTTGGCACCAGGATTGGACCTAGGGGCGCTCAACCACTGAG